CTTGCCTTGCAAGATGGTGTTGACGAGGGCGTGGAGGTGTGTGGTAACCCCCGCGTTGGCTAGTGATGCGTCGCGGAGGTGTTCAAATGTCATACCCGATGGTCCTCCTCCCATCCCGTTCTCACAGCGACACAACATTTAAATGAAGTCCCCCTTTTCTGTCGAGGCAGCCTGTACAGAATCGGGGATGCTCCAATCGATGGTTCCAGGTGGCGCGGGGGGGTGTTTTGCTTTGAGAGCGGCGAGGATGGTTGCAGATGGGTCAGCGACCGGCGTTGACTCAAGGGCGAGGATCGCCCTGCGAAGGCTGACTTTTCGTGCAAGGCTCGTTTGCCTATGGCATCTGGCGTATGACGAGGCGGGTGGGGTCCAGTAATTGCGGTAACCGCCGCGTCGTACAGCTGCTGCCATTCGCCCTTGTTGAATTGGCGAAGTCGTTGCTTGACTGCCGGCCAATCGGGCTTCTCGGTTGACGGGAGGCGAAGGGTGAGACGCGGGATAAAAAGTAACAGGCGCCAGCCTGCGACTGACGCAGGGTTCCGCTCGAGGTAGAGGAGTGGTGTCAGGAGGGCAGTGGCGAAGAGTGGGCGAATGTCACCGGGGAGTTTACGCGACAGTGGGGGCTGACGACTGTCGCGTAGGGGGGAGAGGTCCCAATGTTCCACTTCGCCGAACCGCACCAAGTCCTTGGCCAATTGTTCAGGCGAGAATTGGCGGGTCTCTGGTGCGGTGGTGTCCGGTCCCGGCTGGTTCGATTCGCCACCTGCTGCAGCTGGGATTGGGGCGGCTCGTGGTGCTGGGTTTCCCCGGCGTCTGCCTTCTCGTTCCTCCTCCTCTAACTCCCCGATTCTTCCGTGGTGGATTCTTCCACCACCTCAGCTATAAACGTAGGGTCTCTTCCCTCCTCCTCAGCTTCATCATCCTCCACTCTTCGAGTTAAGGCGCGGCGTGCTTCCCTCTGGAAGCCATTCTCCGGTCCGCCTCCCCTCCCAGTCCGGCCTCCTCGTCCGTCGCCTCGTCCGCCCGGCGATGCCGGTGTCGATAGGCGACGACTATTCGTATTCGCCACGGCCCTTTGTCGTGGCGTCTGCTGCTGCTGCCCTTCCGACCGTGTCGGCCCCGGCTCGGGCGGCTGTGGGGATGCCACCTCTTCCCGCGCCTCGATCGGCGCCGTCGTCCGTGACTCAGGCCGGCCCTGTCCTTGCGCCTGCTGCGGCGCCGTTTCCCGTCGCGGCGTTGTTGTCTGCGCCTGCCGTGGCGTCTGGTCCTGCACACGTGCCGTCGCCCGCTCCCGCGCTCGCCTCGGCGTCTGCTCCTGCGACGGTCGCGGCGTCTGAACCTGCGCGTCCTCTGGTGCCTGCGCCGGTGGCTCCTCCTGTCCCCGTGGAGGTGTCTGCGCCTGCGCCTGCGCCAGCTGTCGCGGCGACGACTGCGGCTGTTGGAGCGGGCGCCGTGCCGCCACCGGAAGCGCCTGCCGAGGCACCTTCTTCTGCTGCTGCAGACCCGTCTTACCGGCCACCTCCAGCCACCAGCGCCGGCCTGAGCTTGGCGGAGGTTCAGTCGAGGCACGTGGCGCCTCCGAATGCTCCGTCCGGGCAGCCTCGACGTCCCCAATCACCTGGCCGCCGTCAGTCCCGTCCACATTCTCCCTTCTCGCATAATGAGCAAGAATCGTCGCGGCGCCGGCAGGATTCCCCTCGTGGCCGCCGATCCCAAGGGAACTGGACCGCGCGCTGCGGCGGTCGTGGTGGCTGGTGGGGAGGTCGCGGCTATGGTCGTGGCGCTGCCCCAGAGGAGCCCCCGATGACTCCGGCGGAGATCCGCCAGCTTGTAACTGCAGCGTTGCGCGACGCCCGGGCTGACGCGGCTGGCCCAGGTTCCCCGCAACGTGCGGCGCCACTTCCTGGCATTCCGTCTCCAGCCGTCCGTCCTGCCGCCGATCACCAACCCGCTCCTCCTCCTCGTGTTGTTCCCCAGTTTCAGGCGCAGGATCCCTCTCGCGCTGCCGGGGTTGTGCCACTCCCAGTCCTGGCGGGGCCGCCCCTTCCTCCGCAGGCGCGTGTTCCTGAGGCGACTCTGGGGCAGTTGTGGCGCCTCTCGGAGAGCCTTCGGGCGCTCCTTCTGGTGCAGGTGACTGCACATGCCTCTCTCCCGCCCGTCCCCGCAGAGTCCCTTCTTGATGGCCTGCGGGATGACTGCATGGACACAGCGGACCAGCTTGCTCTGCTCCTGGCGCCCGTGTTGGCTGCGCCCGCGCGGGGAGGCGTCGCGGCTGTGGGACAACTTGATGCTGCTGTCCGGGGCCTGCGGAGGTACTTGCGTGCTGGCTCGGGAGCCGACGCGATCGCAGCAAGTACCTTGGTGGTCCGCGAGGTGTGGCGGATTCTGAGTGGCCTCCTTGCTGCTCTTGAGGCGGATCGGATGTAGAATCCGCCGCCATGGTTGACTCCGGCGCTTAGCACCCCTTGCTGTGCATGTATGTGTTGCCGATATAAGTGCCTGTTCGGTTTCTCCGATAAAAATTCTGAACCCACCGAACAATGAGGAAAAGAGGCCAAGAAGGCCTCTTAAGTAGCTCACAGAGGAGAGGGCAGAGGGCTAAGGGAGAGGGCAGAGGCTAGGTGCCTCTCTCTCTCTCGCTCTCTCGAACGAGCGAAAAAATCCGGCCCACAAATGAATGATGAGCAGAGGGAGCTAGAACAGCCACTTAAGTACCTAGGGAACCGAGGGCAGAGGCTAAGGGCAGAGGGCAGAGGCTAACCCTCTCTCTCTCTCTCTCTCTCTCTAATGGTCCTTGTATTGATATAGCAGCAAGGTACAAGCATGCAGAGTATGGATGTAACAAACAAACCACCAATTCCTACTCACTATTCCCCTAGTCCTCTCTCTCTCTCTCTCTCTCTCTCTCTCTCTCTCTCTCTCTCTCTCTCTCTCTCTCTCTCTCTCTCTCTCTCTCTCTCGAACGGTCCGTTGTATTGATATAGAAAAGAGAAAACAGCATAAGGTAAGCAAGCAAGCAACAAACAGGTATGTCTAACTATTCTCCTTCCTACCCCTTTCCCCTCCCCCCCCCCCCCCAAGTCTTCTACTCGCTACCATTGCCCGGTTCTAGGGTAGCAAAGCACTCCCCCGGGTCTAGGACCCCCTCATGGCCTCCTAAGGCTGGGTTCTCCTTCTGGGCCGCCAGGTTCATCTTGATAAGGAAGCTTACTGCCTGTGCCCTTTGCAAGGCGACAGACCACCGCTGGCGGAACTGGTGCAGCAGCTTTGCGGCCTGGAAGCTTGAGGGGTCCGCGTTGAAGTGTAAGCGTGCTGCTCTGTCCGCCAGGTGCTTCAAGAACGCCTGCACCTCATCGCACGGGCAGCCATAGGTCTCGACCGCCAGCGGGTAAAAGCCTGCAAATTCAGCCCTGCCGTGGTATAGCCCGATTTTCTTATCTGCTGCCTCCCTTGCTGCCCCTCCCCGTCCCTTCCTGGCAGTCTCGTCCCTTTTGCTGATAGGGTCAGTGATGGTTATGTCACCCAGCCACACCGCCCCACTGCTTCTGTCCCGAATGGCCAGGTCGGCCTTCTTGTTGTCGACCGGGCTAAACGCAGTGCTCTCCTTGTGCACTATGAACCTCGCGTCCTGGGCCATACGCACACACTCGTCCCTCACCTCATTGTGTGTGTTGGTCCGTCCGTGCCCTGTGCCGCAGCGGAGGAGGTGGTTGGGGAGGCGCTTGTCTGCTATGGCGACTCTCTTGGTGCAGTCGCAGTTGTCAGGGACGGGGAGAGGCAGTCCTAGGCGGAACTGGAGGGCGAATGAGAAGTGGTCCGGATCGAGGCGGAGGGAGGGCATGTAGGGGATGGCTATCAGCCAGTCCCCCGCACCGTAGCCTGTGAGGGACAATAGCCGCTGGGTGTGGCCGCATAGTGGGTTCAGCTCCATATGCCGTGACGCTGCAACTTGAGCGGCGCTTCGTCCGCCCTGGACTAAGAGGGCAAGGCGGTGCTGCAGCTGTCCCTTGGGTGCAGCCATTTCTGCCGCCAGCAGGTCACGTCCTTCTTGTGTGAGGCTTGCCTTGCACTCCCCAAGCCAGGTTTGCAGTTGGTTGGGGTCCGGGTCCACCTCCTCTGTCCAGTTAAGGGCGGTGGAGAGGTGAGCTCCTGCGGGGCCGGGCAGGGAGGCTAGCAGTCCGTGCGCCTGGACAAAGCTCGCCAGGTAGCTGTAGCGCCCTTCCACCGATGGATCCGCCAGCCCCAGACCTCCCAGGCTCGGGGGGAGGGAAGCCTGGTCCCACACGCGTTGTTCCTCCGCATCCCCCCTTGGGTGGCGCACGCCGCAGGCGTCGAGTAGTGTGTGGAGCAGCTTCTGGCCCCACCGTGACCACTCCTCTTCGGGCAGAAGGGTGAGTGGGGTTGTGCGCGCGAGGTATGACATCCGCCTCGAGATGCACCTCGTCAGCAGTAGTGATGCTGCCTGTGGTTCCAGGTCGGCTATCTGCGGGAGTGGGGTTGTCATTGCTTGCAGCTGAGCCCGAATAAATGCCGCTGCTCCGTCTGGCGCGCCGATGAAACTGCCCAGAACGCGCAGACCGTTGTGGCAGAAAGGGATCCCTTCCGGTAAGGCCCCCTCCGGTGGTCGAACGGTGCTCAACGCCGCACATTTACCGGCGTTGTGCCTGAGCCCCATGCTACGGATGCTGCCCGTGAAGTGGGTGAACGCCGCTGTGCACTCCGCCACATTACCCAGGAACGTGACATCGTCGGCGAATGCGAGGCAGAGCACGGTCGGGAAGGCGGCTGCGGTCGCGGCGAGGGACGGGTGAATGCCTGCGGCGAAAAGCAAAGGCCCGAGGGGGTCGCCCTGGCGGACCCCTGTAATGCTGGATATGGGAGGGCTATTGAAGCCGGCGTCGAGAAATAACTCTGACGGCGCGCCGTAAGAGGAGTGGACGAGGGGGAGGATCCCTTCTAGCGTACTTCCACGTAAGCCCGCTACGATTGCGTCGCGACTGATGCTGTTAAATGCGTTTGAAAGATCCGCCTGGAGAATCGTGGCGTCACTGTGCATGCTCATGTATGATCTGGCGGCGTGGATTATCGCCTCGCTACCTCCCTGGACGGCGACGCAGTACTGGAGTGGGAGGAAATGTGCTCGTGCCGCTTCTGCTAGTGAGGAAAGTGCCGATTTGGCCGCGAGGCGTAGGACACATTCTCCTACAGCTATGGGCCGAGTCCCTCCTTCTGGCTTGGCGAGAGCGATGAGGCGGGAGGATGTGAGCAAGGAGCACACCTCCTCGGGGAGTTTCCCTCGGAGGATTGTGCTAACGAGAGCGTGGAGGTGGGTGGTAACGGCTGCGTTGGCGATAGCTGCATCCCTGAGGTGTTCGAACGTCATCCCTGACGGCCCTCCCCCCACTCCGTTTTCGCAGCGGCACAGAATTTTCGCGAATGCAGCTGAGGTGATGGTCACCACGTGGGCCTCGTCCGTTGATGTCCAGTCAATCTGTCCTGGTGGTGCGGGTGGGTGCTTGGATTTAAGTGACTCCAGTACCTCAGGCGTTGGATCTGCCACGGGTGTAGATTCGAGGGCCAGGATAGCCCGCCGGAGGCTGCCCTTTCGAACCAGTCCTTCTGCTCTGGCACGCTTTCCCAACTCGTCCGGCTGGTGACGTGGCGCTGGAGGCGAGTTGACCGCTGCCACGGCTGCCTCGTACAACCGTTCCCATTCGCCCTTGAAAAACTGACGAAGTCGCAACTTCACTGCGGGCCAATCAGGCTTCCCTGGTTTCGCCTGGCGAAGGATTAGGCGGGGAATGAAGAGTAACAGGCGCCAACCGGGTACGGAGTCAGGGTGGCGTGCGAGGTGCAGCAGGGGTGTCAGCAGCGCGTTAGCGAAACTGGTGCGGATTTCGTGCGGAATTTTGCGGGAGAGGGGGGGCTGACGGCTGTCGCGTAGTGGTGTCAGTTCCCAGGTGCGAACTTCATTGAAGCGGGTCATGTCCTTCGCCAGCTGCTCTGGCGAAAATTGGCGGGTTGCTGGTGTGGTTGTGAGGGGTGCGTCTGGGTTTGGTTCCCCCCCAATTCCAATTTGTGCAGATGCGGCTCGGGGGGTTGTTGCCACATTCACTCGACTCTCAACTCCTGGGGCAGCTTCACCTTCATCCCCTCCACTTCCTTCGGTCGTTGATACTGCGGCTGGCTCGGCAATAAAGGTGGGGTCTTGTGCCTCTTCTGCTTCATCCACTGCCACGTTGTTGACATCCGCTTCTGTTAAAGCTAGTCTCGCCGCTCGTTGGAAGCCGTTCTCCCGGCCTCGACCCCGCCCCGCAGCTCGCTGCCGCCCGCCTCTGCCTCCTCGTAATGCCTGTGGCGGTTGGCGGCGGTTCCCCGGTGCCGTGTTCGCCGCGGCCGTTTGGCGTGGCGTCAGCTGCGCTTGCCTCGCCGGTGCGGTCGGCGCCGGTTGCCCCTGTTGCGGCAATGTCTGTCGCGGGTTCTCCTGCTCGCGCGTGCTCCACGGTAGTCGACTCTGGACGAGAGTCGGCGGGTGTGGCCGTCCGACAGCGAGTGGTGTCGCCGGCGCCTGTGCCTGCCTTCGTTCTGGCGCCTGCGGCCGGCGTGGCGCCTCTCCCTGCTCCTGGCGCGGCGCCCTCTCCCGCGCCGCATGTTCCGGTGTTGCCGTCGCCTGCTGAGACGGCGGCTGTTGCTGGGGTGGCACCTACGTCTGGCGTGGCGCCTCCTCTTGCGCCTGTGGCACCGCCCGTGGTGTCTCCTGCTGCATCCCTTGATGCACCGGGCGGGAAGTCTGCCCCTCCGCTCCCCGCGGCTTCCGCGTCTGGCCCCACCCTTCCTCCTGTAGTGCAGCAGCGTAACTCCCGTCCCCATTCGCCCACCCCCCGAGATGAGCGAGATGTATCTCGTCGACGGCGTGATTCCCCTCGCCGGCGGCAGCCGCACGCGAACTGGCATGCGCACCAGGGTGGTTGGAGGGGAGGTCGCGGTCGCGGGCGTGGCGGGTGGCTGGACGCGCCAGCAACGATCGCGGACGTGCGACAGATTGTGACAGAGGCGTTCCGCGACGGTCAGGCCGGCCCAGCGAGTCAGTACAGCTCGCGGCATGCGCCTCCAACGCCGTCTGCTCCCCTTCCGGTCGCTCGCCCTGTGGTTGCTCCGGCGCCGGCGGTGTCACTGCCGGCTCCCTCAGCCCCTGCTCGCAGTGGTGGAGCTGGGCTTCCTCGGCTACAGCTTCCCTCCCTGGCGGAGGAGCTCCTTCCCCCGCGGGCCGAAGTTCCGGAGGCGACTCTCGGCCAGTTGTGGAGGCTCTCGGAGAGCCTCCGTGCGCTCCTGCTTGTGCAGTCCCTGGCGCACGGGTCTCTTCCGCCTGTACCGGCGGAATCTCTGCTTGACGGCCCGCGGGACGACTGTCTTGATGCGGCCGACCAGATTGCCCTCCTCCTAGCGCCTGTGTTGGCCGCGCCCGTGCGGGGAGGCGTTGGGGCTGTGGGGCAACTGGACGCGGCTGTGCGGGACTTACGGAGGTACCTGCGGGCAGGTTCCGGAGCCGACGCGATTGGCGCCGCCATTCTGGTGGTCCGCTCGGTGTGGCAGACGATGACGGGCATTCTGCATGCTTTGCAGGCGGATCGGATGTAGCATCCGCCTCTTCGTGCCCCATGTTGATGCTGCCGCTTGTTGTCCTATGCGGCTGTAGCTGGAGCCATTGCGTGTATGTCCTTGATTATACTCTCTTGTCTCGTTTCTCTCTGTCGCCCCAAACGCGCGCGTCGGCCGCCGAAGGCGGTCGACGCGAGCGGAAAATTGCAGCCACCACACAAATAATGAGGAAGAGAGACCCCAAAGGGCCTCTTATATAAGCTAGGGAGGCAGTGGGAAGAGGGCAGAGGGATGAGAGCAGAGGCTAGGGTCCTCTCTCTCTCTCTCTCTCTCTCTCACTGTCTCGAACGAGCGGAAAATTGCAGCCACCACACAAATAATGAGGAAGAGAGACCCCAAAGGGCCTCTTATATAAGCTAGGGAGGCAGTGGGAAGAGGGCAGAGGGAAGAGAGCAGAGGCTAGGGTCCTCTCTCTCTCTCTCTCTCTCTCTCTCTCTCTCTCTCTCTCTCTCTCTCTCTCTCTCTCTCTCTCTCTCTCTCTCTCTCTCTCTCTCTCAAGCAGTCATGTATTGATAGGGTTCATAGGGTACAGGCATGGCATTGCGGTGGTAGCTAACTGGTCTAAGCAGGGCATGCAAGTATATTGGTACGGCAGCTATGCTAGTAAGCAGAACAAGAGCAGAAAGAGCACACCTCAAGCCCAAACCGACGGACAGAAGACCCCAAGCCCTATCAACCCTGACAACCTCCTGCCCTGTGGCTGCGCCCTGAGTTCTCCCCCTGCTCCTACCCCTTGCCGCCCCTACTACTCCCTCCAATGCTCCATCCTCCAGCTCCTCCCCTCACCCCTCCACCAGTCACCATCCTGCCGCCTCCCCGCCGCCCCCTAGCTCCCCCCCCAGCCGTCTAAGGTGCCCTAGCAGGAGCGTCCCGCTCCTCATACTCATCGGACGTCATCTGCCAGAGGTCTGCCAGGCGTGGGGCCCATGGGTCCGCAGCTGCCTGCGGGAAGGCTGCGTCTGCTGCTCGGTTGGACTTGGACAGGAGGGAGATTGCTTGGCTGCGCTGCAGCATCACCGACCATCTCTGGCGGTAGTGTGCCGTGAGCCGAGCAGCCGTGGTGGTGAGTCTGCCCTGCCGAAACCTCTTCTTGGCTGCATGGGTTGCTAACGTCCGAAGGAATTGTACGGTGTCAGCCGCCATTGCCCCATAAGTCTCTACCGCTAGCCCAAAGAAGCCGGCATAGCTCGGGCGCCCCTCGTACAGCCGATGCTTCTTCTGTGAAGCCTCCTCTGCCGCCCAACCTGGCGGCCTGCGTGCCCTCACGTCCCTTTCCTGCAGTACCGGATCTGTGACAGTGACATCCGTCACCCAGGTTTCTCCCGATTCCTGGTCCTGGATCACTAGGTCCGCCCTCTTCCTAAGGACAGGTGGTGAGAAAGCCGAGGTCTCATGGTAGGTCTTGTAGCCCGCCTCATTCGCCATGCGTAGCGCAGCGTACGCAAGGGCATTGTGCGTCCGTACCGCGTCCCCCCCCTCCTGGCAGCGTAGCAGATGGTTCGGCAGGCTCTTGTCCAGAATTTGCGAACCCCCCCGCTTGCATGGGCACACCTCAGCTACTGGCAGTTCCATGCCTAGGCGGAGGCCTAGGTCCAAGGAGAACTGACCAGGGGAGATGGTAAGGTCAGCCCTCGTTGGTACTGCATGGAGCCAGTCGCCCGCCCCCACCCCTTTCAGACTTATCAGCCGGATACCGTGCCCCCTGTGCCTGCCTGGTCTGTCTACTACAGTGTCGCCCGCTGCAGGTTGATCTGCTTCGATAGGCCCAGCTGCAGACTGCCTGTGCCCGCACTATCCGCCCTGTACTGACTGAGAACTGCCTGTGCTTGGGCTGGGAGGCCCTCCTCTAGGGCTGTCAGTGGGTTGAAATCTGGGGGGGGGGGGGTCCAGTCATGGGCCAGCAGCGTGATGGACATGCGTAGCAGGCAGTCCGAGGGCAGGTCCAGTTGCTGCAGAAGGGTGTGTGCAGCTGCTATCGAGGCGATGTGTGCCGCGGGTGCCTCTGAGATGGGGTCAATGATTCCCAAGCCGCCGAGCCGAATGGGTAGAGTCGCCTGGCGCCACAGGAGGCTCTGCTCCAGTTCCGACGTTGGGATGTTTAGCTTTGCCGCCGCAAGGGCCGAGCCCACCAATGCCTCACTCCAATCCCTCCACTCCTCCAAGCTCAGTGCCGTCGCAGGTGTCGTCCGCAGCAGGTAGGAGATGCGGCGGGAGATGCTGCGAGAGAGAATCAGAAGGGCCGCCTGAGGGTGGAGCTGGTTGATGAGGTGGAGTGGTGACGCTGCATCCTCAAGCGAAGCTCTCACTTGGCCGGTGCAGAATTCCCTGCTGCCTATCGGGCTACCCAGGACCCGAATGCCTCCTGGGTCAGCGGTCAGGCCCAAAAGAAGCTCCTCTGCTTCCCATCCCTGCATGGCGCACCACGCCGAGGACTTGGCGATGTTGCAGCGGAGTCCGCAGTCAGCGAGGTCACCTGCTATCTTCGGGAATGCCCTGCTCGCCGCTTCTCTTGGTCCGACTATGGTTATGTCGTCCGCATATGCAACCACGGCGACCTCTGGCATTGTCGCCGAGATGCTTAAGAGAGCCGGCTGAATGGCCGCCGCGAACAATAGTGGGCCTAAGGGATCGCCCTGCCTGACGCCTCGCGAGCTCGGAACGTGGTCGACTCCCAGGCGAGCATCGGTGAGAAGGCGCGAGGGGCCGTCGTAGAGGTTGCGGACGAGGGGGAGCAAGGGACTAAGTTTGGACCACTGGAGGGCCCCGAGGAAGGCCGAACGCTCAACGCTGTTAAAGGCGTTTTCAACATCCAACTGGAGCGCAGTGCGTGTCTCGTCCTCACGGAGTAGGGATCGGACGGAGTGAATGATGCACTCCGCTCCTCCTGGCACTGCTACACCAAACTGTACTGGGAGGAAAAAGGTCCTTATCTTAGGTCCTAGAGTATGTAGCGCCACTTTCGCCACTACGCGGAGCACCGCCTCGCCAATCGCTATAGGTCGTACTCCGCCGTTCGGCTTCTCTAGTGCGATGAGGCGGGAAGGCAGTAGCAGCTCTCTCACGTGACTGGGTTGGAAAGTACTGAGCAGTTGATTGACTACCTTGGCGAAAAGCTGCAGCAGCTCTTCGTTGGCTAAGGCAGGGTCTCTCAGGTGCTCGAAACAGGTGCCTGAAGGGCCCGCACCAACGCCGTTCGGGCACTTCGCCAATATTTCGCGTAGTGTGTCCAGCGAGACCGCTAGGTCTGAGGTGGTGATTCCGGTAACCCAGGCGGGGATCTGTTTTTCCGCCGCAGGATGTTTCGCTAGCAATGCCTTGAGTGTAGCTGTAGTTGCCTCGGCGAGCGGGCTCGTTCGTAAAGCTGACACTACTTTCGAAATGTTGCCTTTTTTCAGTAACCCCTCCGCCCTAGCACAAACCCCTTCCTCGTCAGCCTGGTGTCGTACCGGGGCATCAGTAGCAGGTATGGCCCCTGCCTCTTCGAAAAGGTCAGTCCACTTGCCCCTTTGGAACCTGTGCAGCCGTGCTTCAATAGCTGCCCAGCGACTCCCCGCAACAGGTTCGGGCGCTGGCCTCAGGGTGAGCCTCGGCAAGAACATCAGCACCGTCCAACCCCCTGGGCAGCTTGGGTTTTTGTCCAGGCGGATGAGGGCTGCCAGCATGCACAGACAATATCTGTCCAAAAGCTGTGGTGGCAAGCGGCGGTCGAGGAATGGCTGATCACTTCGCAGAAAAATGTCCACATTCCACCCCCCCGCCATGTGCCAGATGGCGTCATCGCTAGCCAGGTCGGCTGGCGATGGAACATCAGTGTCCCCCGTGGCTGCTTCTGCTGGGTCCGCTGTGGCTTGTGGGATTCCCCCCGCCGCTTCTCGTGTTTGTGGTGCTGGGTTGTCCCTCCTGGGTGGGGCCTCCTCGTCATCCAGTGAGATCTCCTCTGAAGCCTCGTCCTCCCCAGCCATAAACTCTGGATCGGCATCAACGTTGTCAGATGCCTCTGGTTCCTCATTCGTCTGTGGCTGCTCTCTCTCAGGCCTGGCGTGACGTTCCCGCCAAGGGCCCGTTCTAGCAGGGATCTCCGTTCTGCATGCTGCGTTGCGCCCTCCCCTGCCTCCCCTTAGGCCCCCGCGCGGGTTTCCGCGATTCCCCCGTTCAGCCGTACCTGCCGCCCCCGCTCCCGCCGTTGCGTTGCCTCCGCGGCCGGCCGGCATCCACGGTGTTCGACCGCCCCGTGGCGGTCCCCAGGTTACGGATCCGAGCCTAGCTGAGCATCTCGTGCCAGTCGTCGCTGCCACTGCCACACTCGCTACGGCTGCTGCCGCCGTTGGAACCGCCGCTTGTGGCGCCCCGCCGGTACCGCTGCCCGAGCCCTCCGGCTCCTGCGTTGGTGCTATCTCTGTCGCTAACGGCGTCGCCGCTGCCACCTCTGGCTCCTGCTGTACCGCCGCAGCGCCCCTTGATGACGACGGAAGCCCTGGCACTTGTGGCGATTGCCCTTGCCGCAGCCAGCCCAGGAGGGGTCCCGGGGGACCAAGTCCCAGCCCTGCTCCAGGCCGCCTCGCTGCTGGCTGGGCGCGGGGCCGCTTCCCCTTCTTCCCGCGGGCGGCGGGAGCGGCGATGCTCTTCCCGCGGGCCTGTCTTCCGTCCGCCACCTGGCCGTGCTCCTGCGTTCCTGCGCCCTCGTCAGCAGCAGACGTTCCGGCGCACTCAGCGGCAGCCCTCATATCCTCCGCGCTCGCTTCACCATCCTGCGTTCCCACCGCGGCCGTCACAGCCGCAGCAATCACAGCCGCAGCCACCGGTGCCGGGGATGCCGCCAGCTCCGCCTCCTCCTCCCCTCTCTGTTCCGGTTCCGCAACCGGCCCCCGCTCCTCAGCCAGCCGTGATGCAGCCTGGGGGGTGGCAGAGGGTGAAACTGAGCCGCCGTCAGAGGCAGCAGCAGTCCCGCCAGCACGGCCCGGGTCCACCACACACCCTGCCAAATGCACAGCAGCAGCGCCGACCTCAGGCGGCCCCCCGCCAGCAGCAGCAGCGCCAGGCACCGCCGCAGCTGCCGCCTCAGCCTCAGCCCTCGCAGCCTCCGCCCTCTCACCCACCTCCTCGCCGTTGGTTTCAGCCGCCGTTGCAGCGCCAGCAACTTTCACCCCCTGTGTCACCCGTCCCTTCGTTTTTTCCTCCCCGTGACCCCCCCCTTCCTCAGGCTGGTCCGACCGCGGGCGCCTTCCCTCGCCTCTTCGCTGGTGGGCGCGAGGTGCCAATACCGTGGGGGCAGTGGACTCCTCCAGTGCCGCCGCCTGCTCCTGTTGTGGTTCCTGACGCGCCATGGAGTCCGACGGGAGGGGGCTCCTCTGATGGCGTCGCAGAGCGCGCAATGAACGTGGGGACGTGCTTGTCCCTGTTGTCATACCTCCTTGACCAGCTCCACCTGTACCTGGCGCGGCAGCGGCTTGAGATTCAGGGCCTGCTGCCCACGGAGTTGGAGGCGGCGGAGGCTGCAGCGGCGGAATTGCAGTAGTTCCTCCCCCTGATTGGGTACTGGCCTGGCTCCCCTGGAGCTGCCCTCGGGCCCGGCCCCCTGGCTTTGCTGGAGCTTGCCGAGACTGCCCGGGTGCAACCCCTCGCCCTCGTGTCAGCAGTAGCATCCGTCCTGCGCTGGATGGACGGGCGACTTTGCTGGATCCTCTCCGAGTAGCGGTTGTCTTTCCCTTACCGGCCACCCTGGTGGTGGGCTGGCCCTTGGGCTTCCCCATGGCGGTGTAGTCTACCCTGGGGGTGTTGTTGTTGTTGTGTGATGTCACCCTTGCATGTTGTAAGACCCTCTATTATAAAGCTTGCCGCCCCTCTTTCCTTGTCACACCTCACGCGCGGCCGAAGGCCGCGCCGGCGAGCGACGGCCGCCGAAGGCGGCCGGCGCGAGGCGCCGTTTTTGGAGAGTAAACAGAATTCACCAGTGAAGAATGAGTCCCCAAGGGAGGATCTAGAGGCTTTATACTAGGATACTAGGCTGAAATAACGGCTAAGGACTAGACTCTACACTAGAGAGGGCTAAAAAACGGCTAAGGACTAGTCCTTGGCCATCTCTCTCTCTCTCTCTCTCGCTCTCTCTCGAGCGAGCCGCCCTTTTTGGAGAGTAAACAGAACTCACCAGTAACCCTCTCTCTCTCTCTCTCTCTCTCTCTCTCTCTCTCTCTCTCTCTCTCTCTCTCTCTCTCTCTCCCTCTCTCGTTCTCTCTCTCGCGTTCTCTCTCTCTCGTTCTCTCCCTCTCGTTCTCCCCTCTTGTTCTCCCCTCTCGTTCTCTCCCTCTCGTTCTCTCCCTCTCATTCTCTCTCTCTCTCTCGTTCTCTCTCTCTCGTTCTCTCGTTCTCTCTCTCTCTCTCTCTCTCTCTCTCTCTCTCTCTCTCTCTCTCTCTCTCTCTCTCTCTCTCTCAAGCAGTCCTTCTCCACACTTTGACAATTCTTTTGTTCTCTCCCCACTTCCTTCTTTCCCTCTCCTTCATTCGTCGCCTACTTGTTTTTCCAGATTTCCTTCTGAATTTCGTTCCAGTTGTGTACATCTGTCAAGATTACTTGTGAAGTGGATAGTAGTGGTGATCTGTAGGATTGTATTGTATTGATGTTTGCATGTTTTATTGTTATTACAGTTTGTGCATTGAGTTTTTTTTTTTTTTTTTTTTTTTGTGAATGTATGTGATCTTGTATACCGTATATTATCACTGATGTTTGAGTTATACCCCCCATTTGGGGTGTAATGTTTATAAGACCCCTCCCTTCCAAGAAACAGCGTTTTAAAGCCGCATTTTGGGTTCTATTAGCAAGCATAGCGCAACTCACACTCCTCTGGAGGCATGCAATGCAGATAGAGCACAGAATGCAAGCACTAACCACTTGCTTTACCACACATCTCCCCAACTAGCCATCTTCCTCCGTCGGCTTTCACTACTGCACCTCCACCCACATTAGTTATCATCCCCCCCCCGCCACCCACTCCTCCACCTCCTCCCCCTCGTAGCGTCCTGGGGGGCACTGTTGAATTATATTGCATATCCTAACTGCCTACAGCTTGTTGTTAGTGTATTAGTTAGATATTAGATTCTATTGCTGGTGGTGTACCCTTTATCTTGCCCTCCTCTTGCCTTTCCTATATCTTGTACCCTTGCCTAATATTGAACCCACTATTTTGGCCCATTCCCTCCCTCTCGCTACTCTCGCCACGATTCTCCTTCCTAAGCATCCTAAACCTAAGTACCTAGCTAATTAGTACTTTAACATGGTATCAGAGCGATACGTTCCTACGGACCTTCTATAATGGGCCCACCTCACTTCCGTCATGCCTTCGTCCCGCGTTCTTGTCAAACTGTTATATTATTGTGTAGGCTGTAGTGGGGTAGCCCATATGGGGTACAACCCAAATTAGGGTTAGTACTTGTATCACTTCCTTTTCTCAATGCAATCATTCCTGCTCGTTAGTTTCTAACATTTCTGCCCGTGGCGAACGCGCCAGCAGTGCGCAGCCCGTCACACGCCCCGTCATACAGAATCGAGCGCACAGCAGCAGCTGCACGCACAGCAGCACGCACAGCCACGCGGAGCAACAGCGTGCACGCCCGCGCGTGCAGCAGCAATACGCACAGCAGTGCGCGCAGCAGCAGCCACGAACGTACGCGCAGCTGCACGCGCACACGCAGCAGCCGCCCGCGCGTGCAGCTGCACGCGCACGAGCAGCAGCCGCCCGCGCGCGCAGCAACAGACGCACGCACAGCCTCTGCTGCAGCCGCGCGCCACTACGCCCCGTCTCCCTCCCTCCCGCGCTTGCTGGCGTGGGGGGGGGGGGGGGGGGGGGGGGGGGGGGTGAGGGGGTGGCGGGGGTGACCAGCAAACCGCCACCAGCTGCCCCCCCTCTCATCCATTCTCTCCCTGCAGCACTTGTCGCTGTGGGGGGGGGGGGGGGGAGGGAGAGGGTGTGAAAGATAGAACGAGGAATGATTGCATTGAGCAGCATGAGGAGTACAAGTAGGAAACCCTAAAGTGTTGTACCCCATATGAACTACCCCACTACAGCCTACACAGACTATAGCATATAAGTTTGACACACCCCCATAGGCAAAGTGGGGGAGAACAAGAGGTCACAAGACCAGTCAAGAAAAGCAAAGCAAGCTCAGGGTGGATCACGACGTCACCACGCATTCTGAGCACAAGCAAATGGCCACAAGGCCAGTTCACATGCAGAGTTATATAAAGGAGAACATGCAATACAGAGATCACAACCTAGCAAGTGTAAGCATGCAGGTATATGTATAGAGATCACAGTACAGGCAAAGTCAAGAAGTAAGCAAGTGAGGCCAAGTGGGCACTAGGCCTAGGACAGTACAGAAACGCTGATGATCACAAGGCTGAAGTGCCTTGGTGAATATATCAGCAGTGTTGGCCTGAGTGGCCACGTAAGCAAGATGAAGCTGACCACGCTGCTGCAACTCTTGAGCAAGGAAGTAGTGCAGAGTGATGTGCTTCGTTCTGTGCTCCAGTCTGTGCTCCTGACACAAGGCAATCATGGCCTTGTTGTCGACGTACAGAACTGGAGGAGAACGAGGCGGCTCTCCCAGGTCGGTCAGCAGGTAGGTGAGCCAGCGTAACTCCTGTGCAGCCATGGCCCCTGCGTAGATCTCAGCCTCACAACTGGAGCTAAGAACAGAAGACGAGCGGGTAGACCGCCAAGAAACAGAACCGGACCCAAGGCTGAAAGTGTAACCCTGTGACGACCGCTGCGTAGCCAAGTCGTCAACCCAGGAAGCGTCTGCGTGACCAGTGAGGACAACTCGAGCCCGTCCTCCAAGCACGAGCCCCATGCCCGACGTACTGCACAAGTAGCGCAACACCCTTTAGCAGCATCCATGTGCTCCTTCCGGTGTCTCCCACGAGCAACATAGCGTGCCATGGTGCTAAGAGGGTATGCCAGGTCAGGTCGAGTGCAGGTCATCAGGTACATGAGGCAGCCCACAAGCTCTGGATACGGGCCACTTGGCTGTACGGACTCATCCGAAGGCAGAGCTGAGAGCGAGTAACGAGTAGGCAGAGGAGTGGACTGTGGCGAGGAGTACGTGAAGCGGAAGTGCTGAAGGACCTGCTGCACCATGTGTGACTGAGTCAAGGTAATGGTGCGCTGTGCTCTGCCCGGGTGATCTGCAAGCCAAGATAGCTGCGCAGCTCACCCAGGTCTGTGCACGTGTGTCTCTTCTGCAGCTCCGACTTCACGTGGGCGAGTCCCTCAGTGTCAGCAGTAGCAAAGACCAAGTCGTCGATTTACACGAGGACGTAGAACGGCGGCAGAGAGGTGTCGGTGCGTAGAAACAGCGACGGGTCAGCAGTAGAAGGAGCAAATCCAAGAGCCGCAAGAGTCGTCCTCAGTGTGTCGTGCCACTCACGAGGCGCCTGGCGGAGACCGTAGACTGGCCGTCTGAGGCTCCACTGGGTACCAGCAGGAAACGACCCAGTGAAGCCAGGTGGGCGGCGCAGCCAGATCTCCTTGTGCAGGCTGCCCTGTAGGAAGGCTGTGCTGAAGTCAAGAGAGTGAAGCTCGTAGTCACGCTGAGCAGCGACGTGCAGCAGTACCCGAAGAGTGGTCATCTTTGGGGTAGGGGAGAAGGTCTGGAAGAAGTCAACTCCCTCTCTCTGACTGAAGCCTCGTGCAACGTAACGCGCCTTGAAGACAGGCGGAGAACCCAGCGGCCGCTTCACCCTGAAGATCCACATTCCACTGACGATGTTCGCCCCAGGTGGGGGAACCTCGTCGACGTAGGTGCATGTGGACTTCGAGGAAGCCATCTCTGCGTCCATGGCTGTCTGCCACTGAGAGGAGTAGGGACCCTCTATCGCCTCTGCGTAAGAGCGCGGGGTCGGGATGTCTGGTGCATCCGGGTCTCCCTCAGGGGCAAGTAGCATGGACACGAGATGAGGTAAAGCAGCGGCAAAGCACTCAAACTCCTCCTGTCTGTCCTCAAGGACGTCCGTGTCAAGAGCACACTCACCCCCGACGGACGGAGGACAGACAGACTCAGACTCAGCAACAAGACTAGCGGCGTAGTCTAGACGACAGGCGGCAGCAAAGTCAACAAGCTCAGCAACTAGGGCAGACGCAGCAGTGGACTCAAACGAAGGGTCAGTGACAACAGTAGCGAGAAGACGCGTGACAGTAGGACTGGCAGCACGAGCAAGGTCTGACGGCGGGTCGGCAAGGTCAGAAAGAGAGGACGCAGGAGGAGACGGCAGAGGGACACGCTGTGGAGCAGTGGACGGACGAAGTGCCATCAGGTGCGTGCCTGGGACAGGAGGAGGACGCGGACGCGGAACACGACGACCAGTGCGAACAGCTCGAACAGGCGACGCAGGACGAGACTCAGGCGACGCAGGACGAGACTCAGGCTCACGACGCTCCGTAAGACCTCTAGTCGGCCCAGAGTAAGGAGAGGGACCAGGCAGGGGAGAGGCTGGCTGTAGCTGCGACTGCGACGGGGCAGGCCGTGGACATAGTAAGGGAAGAGTGGGACCAGTAGAAGGCGGGAGGCCAAGAACCTGCTGAAGGAGTGGAACGAAGTACGGCCGCGGCCGCGCAGCGCCTCCAGATCCAGCAGAGACAGCACCAGTACCCCCAGCTCCGGGGTCTCCAGCTCCAGCAGCACCTCCAGCAGCAACATCTCCAGCGCCTCCAGCTCCAACTCCTGCAGCACCACCAGCCTCAGCAGCTCCAGTACCTCCAGTACGAGTACCTCCGGCAGCTCCAGCACCAGCAGGACCTCCAGCGGCTCCAGCTCCAGCAGCACCTCCAGCTCCAGTAGCTCCAGGACCTCCAGTACGAGCACCTCCGGCAGCTCCAGCACCAGCAGGACCTCCAGCAGCTCCAGCTCCAGTAGCACCTCCAGCTCCAGCAGCTCCAGTACCTCCAGTACGAGCACCTCCGGGACCAGCGGCTCCAGCACCTCCAGCAGCAGCAGCAGCACCACCAGCTCCAGCAGCTCCAGTACCACCAGTACGAGCACCTCCGGGACTAGCAGCTCCAGCACCTCGAGCAGCAGCAGCAGCTCCGGCAGCTCCAGCGCCACCAGCACGAGCACCCCCGGGACCAGCAGTGCCAGCACCACCAGCACCTCCAGCACTCGTAGCTCCAGGGCCTCCAGCTCCAGCAGCACCACTCCGGAGGCTACAGCGCCGAGCGTACCACTGGCGCAACTGCTGTGGAGAGAGAGGCTCCCGCCGGCTAGACTGCTGGGGCGAGGCACCAGTGGGACCTCCAGGACTAGTAACTCCAGCACCTCCAGTACCTCCAGTACCAGCAGTACCTCCAGCCCCTCCAGGACTAGCAGCTCCAGGGCCTCCAGCTCCAGCAGCGCCACTCCGAAGGCTACAACGCCGAGCGTACCACTCGCGCAACTGCTGTGGTAAGAGAGGCTCCCGCCGGCTAGACCGCTGGGGAGAGGCACCAGTGGGACCTCCAGGACTAGTAACTCCAGCACCTCCAGTACCTCCAGTGCTAGTAGCTCCAGGGCCTCCAGCCCCAGCACCAGCAGTACCTCCAGCAGACTCAGCACCCCCAGTCTCAGCAACCTCAGGCTCAGCACCCCCAGACTCCACACGCTCAGGCTCAGCACCCCCAGCAGCACCACCCCCAGCAACACCACCCCCAGTAGCAGCACCAGAGTCACCCGCTACCTCGACAGGCTCAACAGCGTCTACCTGAGACACACCTGAGGGAGCAGGACCCTGAGGGGGGGGGGGGTCTACCGGAGGAGGACCTGGTGCAAGGAAGAGCGGCGGGGGGGGGAGAGGGGCAGTGCGGTAGGGAAAGAGACGGTAAAAGGGAACCGACTCGTCGAACGTGACATCCTGAGAAGGCAGGACTCGGCGCGAGGCGGGGTGGTAAAACTGCCAGCCAGGCGCGTCAGGGACAAAGCCAAGGAAGACGCAGGGAATAGCGCGGGCGGAGAGCTTGTCCGCGGACGTATCGCGGACAAAGGCACGAGAACCCCAGACCCGGAACACCGACGCATCGCCAACCTTCCCCGTCCACCGCAGTGTGGGCGAGGTCTCCGGCAAGGAGACACGGGGCCAGAGGTTGAGCTGATGCGCAGCGTATCGGACCGCAAATGGCCACAGAAAATGGGGGGCAGCCGCATGGACCATGGAGGTACAAGCGACCTCCATGACTAAGCCAATGCAGCGCTCAGCAATCCCATTCTGCTGCGGTGAGGCCGGGAGCGTGAACGTCTGGCGAATGCCCTCCCCACGACAAAAGTCCCGCAGAAAGTCAGAGGCAAACTCCCCACCTCTGTCAGAGTGCAGACGCAGGACGGGAAAGTCCGTCTCGAACCGCTCGCGGAGCTGGAGACGGGCAGCGCGGATCCAAGGGATCAAAACATCAGGGACTTCACCCTTGGTGCGCAAGGGGAAGACCGTGGTGTAACGCGTGTAGTCATCCACGACCAGCAAAATGTACCGCTCGCAGTCCTGTCCACGGACGCGGGCTGGGCCCCACACGTCCATGTGGAGAGTCTGCAGGGGAGCAGTCGTCGGGGGAAACGAGGAGGAGTGAGGAGCGGCGCGCTGCCGCCCCTCGACACAGGGAAGACAGGGAGGAGCAGGCGAGGGTGGGAGGGGAGGGAGAACCCTGGGAAGACCAGAGACAAGGACACGTCGGTGCATGCCACAAAGGCGCTGCACCGAGGGGTGACCAAGACGGTGGTGCCAAAGGACTTTCTGGTGCGACAGAGCGCGACACGAGCAGGGGGCCGCTAGCTGACCTGACGCAGACGCAGACGCAACTACCTGAGGGGACACAGTAGTCAGTGTGTATTGACTCGAGCCAGGCGCTCGGGTGAACGTGGCCAGGTGCCGACCAGTCCGTGAGCACGTACAGTGGGTCACACGCTGACCTCCAGGAGTGAACTGGTCAACCCACACGTCCTGGAGGTCAGCTCCACTCACCAAGTTCGTAGAGAACGAGGGGAGGTGAAGACCTGACAGTGAGCCAGACGGAACCGCCGGACACGGCAGAACCGTGGAGGAGTGCGCAAGGACTGGGCCCCCAGAGGGGTCCGCCAGGGAGACTGCAACCGGCCGACTGAGCGGCGTGAGTGTGGTGCTGTCGCGGAAGAAGGAGCGGGAAGCACCTGAGTCAAGTGTGAAGGTGTACAAGGCCTCAGCAGGCACAGTATCAGAGAGAGCAGACTCACCAGCACCTGGAGCAGTAGACTCACTAGCACATAGAGCAGCAGCCTCACCAGCACCTAGAGCAGTAGACTCACTAGCACCTAGAGCAGCAGCCTCACCAGCACCTGGAGCAGCAGACTCGATACCTGGGTCAGGCGGTACACACAGGTAACAGGCACCCTCAGCACTAGTAGGCAATGCATACATGGCAGTGAGGATAGCATCATAGTCAAGAGCAAAGATATCCACCCTCTGCCTAAGCAGCTCCACCCAGCTGGGGAGCTCAGCCTTGTCGCCAAACTCGGTACGCCAAGCGTCGCTCAGACAGGCGAAGCAGCGGGACTGTGTGTGACCAATCGTCCCGCAAGTCTGACCAGCCCGATCACCTGTGCGAATGACGTACGGGCAACGAACTGTACTCCGAGACCCTCTACTCTGAGCGTACCACTCACGAAGCTGCTGGGGCGTAAGGGTCTCGCGCGGACGCCGCTGCAGCTGCATCTGGCCACTGCCAGAAGCTCCCGGCTGACCAGCTCCAGGGCGACTGCCACTACGACCGCCGCCACAACCCCAACTAGCGTACCACCCACGAAGCTGCTGGGGCATGAGGGACGCGCGCGGACGTCGCTGGAGCTGCATCTGGCCACCGCCAGTAGCAGCAGTTGCAGCAGTAGAAGCAGTAGCACCTAGGGCTCCTCTTTTTTTTTTTTTTTTTTTTTTTTTTTTTTTTAGGGTTTGGCAGGGCGCACTGGGCGCTGCAGAGGCGGCTCGCGGGCTGCAGGGGTGGCTCGCGGGCTGCAGGGGCAGTGCGCTGTGTGCAAGAGGCAGGCACGCTGGCTGCAGGGGCGGTTCGCGGGCTGCAGGGGAGGCTCGCAGGCTGCAGACAGGCGGCGCGCGGGCTGCAAGGGTCTGCGCGCGGGCGGCTTGCACGGGGCGGCGCGTCGCGGGGCGGGCAGGGGCGGCGCGCAGGCAAGCAGGGCGGACGGGCGTCGCGGCAGGCTGGGGCAGCCCGCTCTGGCGACGCGACGGGCACGGGCAGGGCCGACGGGCGACGCGACAGGCTGCAGGGGCGCGCGACGCGACGGGCCGCCTCTCATCTCCTCTCCTCACCTCCAGCCGCCTCCTCCTCTCTCCTCTCCTCCTCCTCTCTCCTCTCCTCCAGCCGCCTCTCCTCTGCTCTCCTCCCGTGTACCACCAACTTCCTCCTCCTATCCAACAGTTGGTGTTTATCACCAGCATCATACGCCCTCCGGTTTAGCCCTGCTCCTGCGTGCTCCTGCCCCGTTTTGGCGTTTTCAGGTGCTGCCGGCCAGACACCGCTGTTTCTGTGCAAATCACAGCTACAACAACCGCTCTTCAGGCAACCTGCTGCCAGAGACCACTAACTATTGCCGTAGGCAGTTACGGGGGTGTGTTGAATTATATTGCATATTCTAACTGCCTACAGCTTGTTGTTAGTGTATTTGTTAGATATTAGAACCTATGCTGGTGGTGTACCCTTTGTCTTGCCCTCCTCTTGCCTTTCCTATATCTTGTACCCTTGCCTAATATTGAACCCACTCTTTTGGCCAATTCCCTCCCTCTCGCTACTCTCGCCATGATTCTCCTTCCTAAGCCTCCTAAACCTAAGTACCTAGCTAATTAGTACTTTAACAGCCACCAATCATCCGCGTCGTCACTCCACTCGGCCTCCTCCTCCACGTTGCCCTCGGAGGAGGAGTCGGCTGCTGCAGCCTCCTCCTCGTCGGAAGAGGAGTCGGCTGCTGCAGCCTCCTCAGTGGCTGCATCGGCCTCCGCCATCATCACTGCCTCCTCCTCCGCCTCCACGTACGAATCAGCGGGGGGTACAGCGGGGTCAGGGTAGAAGGGGTTGGGGACGGGCTCGTCCATCTCCTCGTCCTGCACATCCTCAAGCACCTCGATTTCTGCCTTGTCACGCAGATGAGCGAGGATCAGATGATCCTCGCTCCCGTCCTCGAGGTTCGAGATTCCGCAGGTGAGGAACGACTTGCGCACCAACTCCTCAAGCACGTCGGCCCATGCCTCTCGATCCACGTCAGCACGATCTCTGCAGGGGGCCTTTTCAAATTGCCTGCGCGTACAATACACGTGCACCCAGATGCTTATTTGATGGTGTGATCATTTATATACAGAGCCCGAGTAGAGGACAAAGGCTCACCAGCGGAAGTTGTGAAGTTGATCCCATCCTCCTCGAACCACGTGCTGTAACAATGGCGAACCCCCGCCTTGAAGCTCCGGTTTATGGATACGTCGAGAGGTTGCACCAGCGGGGTGCATCCATCGGGAATCACGGCCCTGGTGAACTTAAAGAGCCGCATCGTCTGGGAGACCCTCTCGGTGAGGTGGCCCTTGTAGGAATCAAGGACGAGCAGCGCTCGTTTGCGGCTGCCGCCATCGTCTCTCAAGGGGCGCAAGAAGGGGACAAGTACTTGGGTGGTCCAGTCTTGTACGAGCGTCTCGTCCATCCACCCTTTTTCTTGAGCGCGGATCACGACACCTGCACATGACCACATGACTTCCGTTACGTTGTGTGTTGCGAATTCGTTACTGGTAGCTTGGGGATTTACGATAGTGAACTCACCTCGGGGACTGAAATCTTCGGCACCGTCTTACGCTTGAAAATCACGTACGGCGGCATCTTTAGTCCGCCATCCGTCACCGCCAGCATGACGGTGACGCGCTGCTTCTCGTACCCCGTGGTACGGACGTGCACGGTGCGCGCCCCCTTCATCTCGAGAGTGCGTTCCGCGGGCATCTCGAGAAATAGGGGCGTTTGGTCCGCGTTAATCATCAAATCGAGGGTGTACTTGTTGAGGACACGCATCTGCCTCACGAATTCCCAGAAGGACTCTACCTTCGCCTTGCAATCTGCGGTTCAAATCAACAAAAAACATGTTAGATACTCAGTGTCAAACGCACAAGACGCATGATCAAGTCATCGAGCTCACCGTCGGCAAGCTTCTGTCCCATTTTGGTCTTGACCCGCTTCGCCAAGGACCACCTGACGCGGAAGCGCCATGTCCAACGGTTGGATGCCCGCCAATCAACCTGTGGGTGTCGTTGCTTCATGAACTTTTTAGACCACTATGGATCAAGCTCACAGGCACGGGCAGTCCCTTGGCACGGTGTGCAAGAAACTTACGGTACACTGCCCTCTCCATGAAGGGCCACTTGGCCTTTCGGCCAGCGCCTACGAGGCGACGGCTACACCCCGCGGAGACAAGCGGCCGTTCCTTCAACTTCCGCCACTCTCGGATCTGCTTCGGCTGAACGTTGGCTAGCCTCGCCAACTTTCTGATGTTCAAATCGGGCTGCGTAGAGCTTCTAACATTGCCAGCCAGTAGAGCTTCTCCCTGGCGGTGTACGAGTGCCTCGCCTCCTACGGTGGCAAGGCGAAGGGGGGGCAGCATCCAACACCCTCTTCTTCTTGCCCTGCGGCCTACTCGACTGCGGAAATACCGGGACTCTAACTTTGGGTAGCGGGGAGCGAGGAGCACGTGTGCTACCAGAAGTATCGCTCGAAGATTGCAATTGCGTTGGCATCACGGGCCTGGACGACTGCCTAACATGCGGTGATTCACGAACTGCTGTGGCGCGAGGGCCCTGTGCCTGAAACGTTCCTGAATCCGGAGATGTAACCATGACGGCGGGTGTCTATGGCCGAAAGTCACGAACTCTAGTGCGGCGTTTAGGAGAACCCGAGTCTTTATCTGGCCGTGCCTTTCCAGCGAGACACAGCCAGCCGAGCAGAGGAGCATGGCGTGCAGAAGATGGGAAACAGCGCGGCCCGTGAGAGAGGCGGGAGTTGAATAGACGTGAATGTGGCAGCCGAACGTTGCTCGTTCGAGATCCGTGCCTTCACCCCACGCAACGTGCATGGGGTGAGTTTGACGAGTCAGGCAAGGCGCGGGGCTTAGACTGTAGCCACGTCACACGCGCGAAAATCCCCCCTCGTGGTAACCGGCTCCTTGTAGCCAATCAGTTGACTACATGCAGATTCATGCTTGAAGTGCCCCTGCACCCTCGAACCTCTCATCCTCGTGGGTTGTGGCACTTTTGAAAACGGGGAAACACTCTACAACAACATGTCGTTTCATTCAAACCCTTAAAAAATAGTACTTATATGTGTACCCGGGTCTTATAAATTTAGTGCCATATGAATAGACCCCCCGGTATTTTTTAGTGAAATTTTCATAAGACCCTAGGGTCTTTTATCCAGGGGATTATGGTATGTGTTTGTATGTGTGTGTGTGCCCTCGTGCGTATGTGCCGTGGTTGTGTGCATTCATCCATATTCATTGCAATAACAATGCATGTCTGTGATTCTTCAAAAGAAAGCTTAGGTCTATCATTTCACAAAAGGTTCATTGACGCACTCAGTGACTCGTGTGCGACCACTTCGAACTGGATTTGATAGAGTTGACTTACTTTTAGACTTTACAGATTGTGTTGTTTCATGTGGTAGTTGATTATTCAAAAGCTAAGCTATTGACCTCCCCCCCATGCTAGGCAGGGGATGCGGTAGCTTAGCTTTGGGGTCGTTAACTATCACGCATTTTAATCCATTTACTATCATGCACCTGTCGATAACTATCATATTATGTGTGCGTTTTAACATTCCACATTACACGTTACGCATACTCAAGCATTATCCATGCACAACCATCTATTTGAATTAAGCAAGCACGACACACTGAGGACGACGCTTGCGGCTCTTGGATTTGCTCCTTCGACTGCTGACCCGTTGCTGTTTCTACGCACCGACACTTCGCTGCCCCCATTCTACATCCTCGTATACGTCGACGACTTGGTCTTTGCCACTGCTGACACTGCCGGACTGGCCCTAGTGAAGTCGGAGCTGCAGAAGAGACACACGTGCACAGACCTGGGTGAGCTGCGCAGCTATCTTGGCTGCGCAGCTATCTTGCATTGGACGAGGAGCATGGTAACCGCGGGTGAAGTTGAGTTGCGCTACGTGAAGACCACGGGGCAGCCGGCTGACATGATGACCAAGAGGCTGGTGGAGCAGCAGCATTGGAAGTGTTGCAAGCTGGCTGGGATGGCTCTGAACTGAGAGAGCAACATATCCTAAGGCCAACAATCCGAGGGGGAGTTTGTTGGTGCAACCCTACGGTTTGCACTCGGCTTGTTGTCCGTGTGCGTGAATGTGTGTGTGTATGGAATGGTATGAGGGCATGGGATAATATATATTTCATGCTTATAATTGTGTGTGAATGTTGAGTCATGATGTCGAGTGTGTGTGTCGAGTCAATAGCGAGTTATCGCTAGACGCGTGTTACGCGGTCGTTTGTGTCTCGCGCGCGGTTTCTATTTTGTCGTGCGCGGTTTCTATTTTGTCCTGTGTCGAACGTTCGGCGTGTCGCAGGTGTGTGCAGCAGACCCATCAAGAACTCAAGGATGAGTTTGTGATGAAGAGCCCGAGCCTTGGTGTCAAGCCTCAAGTGATTTCGAAGCTTGCCAAAAGGGTACACCTCAAGATATTGAAGATAGTTACATTACTTTGTGTAGTGTAACATTTCACTTGGTGTAGGCCCTAGTGAAGGGTCGTTTCGAGACCCTTCGTGGTTGGGGACAGTGTGGCACTGTTCCACATCACTGTACCTCGGCTCTTGGGGTTTGTAGGAGCTGGGAGTCATTCCCAACTCGTAACTCTTCCTATCTTGTGTTCTAAGACTATAGTGGCTGCCATAGTACCGTTCGTTCAAACCGACGCTGTGTCGTCAATTCTTTATTAAATCGTGCAATCTAAATTGCTAATTGTAGACGACGTGAAGACGCTCCAGATCCAATTTGAATCAAGTCATTTGCAGCTGTGAGCAGAACGCTATCAACGTTTGAAGCCGCTGTGCAGAAATCCGTCTGTGCTCTCTATCTTTCGTTTTAGGCACATTCAAGGCTATTGTGACTATAACAAGTGGTATCAGAGCCCCTTGGAGCAGTTTCGACAATGTCTGGACCTGAGGAAAGGGGTGGCAGAGGTGCTGGTGGCAGTGGAGAAGCTCAAGCTCAAGGCCAACCCCGTGATTCAGCCATGGCGCCCATGCAACCAAGTCTTGGCCCACCTAGGGATGAGCCTAGGGTGTTTGGGCTTGACAAGTTCAACGGTGACAACTTTGCTGAATGGTCCTTCAAGATGGAGAACATCTTTGACCACTATGACCTGCTGGAGGTGATGGAAGGAACGGAGAAGCGCCCCGAGAACGACCCGGAGAAGAGCCCGTGGGTGCGGAAGAGCGCACAAGGCTATCTCTTACTTGGGCAAGCGTTGGGGAGCAGTCAGATCCGTCACATCAAGCCATTCCAGCGTGAGCCAGAGAAAGGACCAAAGGCATGGGCTGCTCTCAAGGTTGTACATGCTCCTGCAACAGCGGCGGTAGCGGTGGTGTTGGAACGGCAAATGGCGGCACTACGAATTGAAGAAGACGAAGCGGTTGAAGAAGGGGTGCAGAAATTCTTCGACTTGTTGACGCGGCTTGAGGGAGCTGATTTGAACTACAGTGAGCTCCAAAAGAAGACCAAGTTGCTGGCCTTACTCCCAGAGTCATGGTCCTCGCTCATCATCAACCTTAATCGCGACTTGCCCCGCCTCTCGCTTGAAGACGTGAAGCGAGCTATCCTTCAAGAGGATTTCCGCCGCCGTGAGTTGGCGAGTGCGGATGGCGCTGGGGCAGCGAGCATCGGCCGTGGATATGGTCGAGGAAGAGGCAGAGGACGAGGGGGAGGAAGGTTTGGTGGCAGCAACTTCGGCGGAGGCCGCAGGAGTGGCGGTTACGGCAGCGACGACAAGAGCTACGGACGCGGTCGCGGCCGATTCGACGGCGAGTGTCACTATTGCCACAAGAGCGGACACATGTGGCGCAACTGCTACAAACTCCCTGATGGTTGGACCCCTGCTCAAGGCCAAGAGGGTAGAGGAGCAGGAGGAGGGAGAGGACGAGGCCGTGGAGGCCGTGGCGGTCGCGGTGGCGGAGCTGCAAACATGAAGAGCAGAGACAACGACAAGGACCCGAGCGACGATCGATACCCGGGTCTATTCTACTTCGTGTCGACGCAAGTACCGGCTGGTCCAGAGAAGGATGAAGGCTTTGAGGAGCCAGCAGCTGTGGGGAAGGTGACCCTACACCCCCTGGACTATTGGGTGATTGATAGTGGCGCTACCTATAGCATGACACCTCGCCCGGACTTGCTCACCGAACTCGAGCTGTCACCGGTGAAGCATGTCACATCGGCTTTGGGGCAGCGAGCAGAGGTGAAAGGCATGGGCAAGGCCATGTTCAAGGGTGCTGATGGGAAGATG